GAATACCGTTTTCCAGTTGACGATTTTTCGCTCGACGATACCGAAACTCTCAGCTCCCCGTACACGTTTCGACAATCGCGCACACGCAGTAGTCGGTACTGCCGGGCGACTTCTCATGATTTCCGATCGCTCTCGCGACCGATTTGCGCCCGAAGTTGCGTTCGACAGCATTTTTCGGTTTGTGTAACGTTTCCCGTGTGCGATGGGAAACGGATCAAACGGAAACGCACACGGTCCGTTCTTTCTGGTCCAGCGGCGTATTTACGGGGGATCGATCTCTCCCCTTGGAAGTTTTTTTCCTTAGGAACGTCTTAACGGACTAGCACTGTTATCAGTTGATCGGACAATAGACATAAATACTGATGAAATAATTGATGGACTAGCAAATAAACAAAGAAAACTTGATTTTATATTATAATTGCAAATAATAAATAATTATAATAAAAATAAAAATGTGTAGTGTGTAAAAAGTAAACTATTTTTATTCCGTAAATAAAATATTATTATACTGCATTTAGTGAGAATTTTTTGAAAAACTCAAATTGGAGGGGGTGCGTAGCTCCCCACATACATGTATGTCATTCAATGGCCTATCCCCTCCCTATAGCAATTCCTAAGTACGTCGCTGCTCTGGTCCCGACGCGGTCGTAGGTAGTGCGAGAGTTGGAGAGACCGTGCACATGGTATCGAAAATCCAAACCGATCGTCGGACGTTCGGCATTCGATTCGGTCCGACGATTTCCTGAAACGGTCAAGGTCACGGTCGATCGTAACACATTTCCGACTCCGTGCGCGCGCGTGTGTCTTACCGGTCTTATGGATTCGATTCACACGATTCGAGCCGGTGGAATACGCGAAAAATGGGGTCATCGGTCCGGAAAACGATAGTGCCCATCGATGTGCATTACGAGATCGGCACTGCGTTTCCACTTTGGCGGCCAAAACCTCGGCCACTCAACGGGTACGTGAGTCGGACAGAGAAAAAACGCGTTCAATATTTTTAAGACTTTAACGTATATTTTATATTAACTAAATATTTAATACAGTATATAATTAAATATCGTTTTACTACACAAACATCGTTTTTTTAAATTTTCACTTATAATTTTTTAAAATTTTTTTGTTCAATATCATGTGTAAAACCAAAACGTATAGAGTAATATATATATAGTCTTGTTTCAACACCTGAAGGACAATAATTTTCGAGACAAAATATAATATAATATTAAGGAACCGAAAATAATATAGTAATAATAGTAATAATAATAATAATAATAATAATAATAATAATAATAATAATAATA